TGTCTCGCGCCATGTGACTTTTGGTTTAATTTATCACTCGTCTGTATTTTGACCGGTATCTAGATGCTGGAACATTAAATTGTTAATCAACGAAGCCGAATTCGGGCCAAAATAACATTGCTGAAAGTAGTTGTTTTCGAAGTACCCTAGTCACAGGCACATTGATAATTCTGCACAATCGCCGTGTATCACAACCTTCATTCGCAACGAACTACGCCGGTTTACGGGTCAACTATTCGAACGAGATCAAGTCAAGCCAGAGGCATGTAGAACAGCTTGCACATTCATTCGGAATTGGAAAAAAAAATCAAACAAACAACAACAACAAAAAAATACTGAAAACGTTCAAAATCAACATCAGTCATGAGCATNTGGATAGGTTAAATGCATCGGCCTGTTTCGCGAGTTCCTATAGTGATTGTACATTCCTACATCTCTACAGTGGCAGGCAGTTTGAATCGCTATTCATACGCAGATAGATTGAAGTCGCTGGGATTATATTCCGGTCACTACCGGTGCATCATGATTACGGTGTATAAAATAATGCAAAACCCAAGCCATCCGTGTCGCCCGCTGCTAAAATTAACACCCAACGTTCATCCATTAGAGGACATCCGTTCAATTTAGTGGTCTCAAAATGCCGCTTGGAATTCCGGCGTCAGTCATTTTCAGTTAGAGTGTGTTGGATTTGGAACTCTCTCCCACCCTATGTCGTCTGTGCACCAAGCATTGAATCTTTCAAACTGAGGCTCGATGAAAAATGAGCACACTATACATTCCAACATAAGTGAAGCTGCGTGCAGCACTGGAAGAATCCCGTATCATGTAACATTCTACAGAAGGAATTGTATTTATCACAGTCTTTTAACCACAACACGAACCTTTGGGACCAGAAAAGCATAAGCTGGTTAGTTATTCGTATAATATATGTTTAATTATTGCCCTACTTAACACTACACCTCTCGTTTAGTTCGCACGTAGACCACGGCAAGTGCAGATTCTCATTACAGAACAACAAGTCATTGTGATTATGGGGCTCCTCTCACGAACTGTTCATTACACAATGACATCATAAACACATTTCGAGCAGTGTTTTTTTGCTATTGTTGACGTAATGCGTCCCTAAATTTGTGCTCACATAACTCCATCATAAATGGTGAATGGCGAGTACCTTTTGACGATTGGTATGACCAGGTAAATATCCCACAACCATTGGTGAGGTGCGGTCCTACCTTGATCGACCATCAGGGGAGCAGGACTTATGGGTCATGCAAAGTGTAGGCTAACAATAATTATACCGGAGAGAAATAGTTTGCAAACTGCATAGATTCCGTGTTCATTGGATGCGGGAACTGAGACAATTCAAGCTGACCTTTGTGTTCTAAATACAACTCGATCAGTTCGGGCAGTCCATGGAGGATAGCCATGTGGAGTGGAGTGCATCGCTCACACTGTACCATTCTGACAGGCGTTTTGGTTTCCAGCACATCGCCGCTTGGTTGTCCTTGACCATCTGGATCCATACGCTGGGTCATTTGTGTGGGGTCACGAGCGAAAGCAGCACAGCTCTCATGCAGTTCTTGATCGTCGTCCGGGAATAGATCGAACGGGTTTACAGACTCCGGTGGCACAGTGACCGGGTGCAGTTTATGACCGTTTTTCACAACGGTATCAGGAGACAGAGAAGAGGGCAGTAGGACAGGCTGGAATGGGACAGAACAGAAAATATTTCAATGCAAATTCAGAGGAAAATGAATCACACAATTCGAGGGACGATTAGGAGAACAGATCGAAAGAGAGTGTTGGCACACGTTACTACTGGTCGGCTCAGATGGGGAACAGTGGTAGGATATGTTGACTAAATGAGCATTTTGCCGAAGGGTTAGCTACAGCGGCAAATTGATCTTTGAAGCAGAGCTTTTCGATCGCCTAAAAGTTCAAATACCAGCCGAATGACTCAATGAAAAACTGGAAGTAAAGCAAGGAAACTATTGAAACATCGATACAAGAAGAAAAAAACGGCGGACTCTGGGGTAGACTCAAAAGACAAATGATGCAACTGATCTCATTGGGAAAACAGGCCCCGGGAAAAGAGGGTAAGTGAGACAATTAAGCAATTCGATGACACGCTGATTCGTCAGCAGCAACGTCCGTGGGAATAAAACCAGAGAAACCAACCAGTCTGCTCTATTGTGGCATGACAGCTACCTTCTTTCAAGTCTAATTACGTGCTCTATGAACACTTCATTATACACAGCCGCTGCACATTCAGTTGACAAACCATTGGTTTCTTCAAAACACGATGGCCGCCCAGAGGGTGGTGTTAACACAATGGTTGTAAAAACCGAAACACAATTCGCCTATACCAAATAAGTTACGGAGTTTTGCTGGGCTATGTCCCGCTGCATGATGAATCGGCTTCAAGGATATTATTATCCGTCGACTTTCATGTTGATAGGATATGGATTGGTGTCCCCGGGACCGTTCCGGATTCTATGATCCCAAGTTTGCTCAGTCCAATGTAGGAGGTGGACTATTGACACTTCATCCGACCGTTTGTTTTTCAAGTACGCACTTCCATCCTTTGTACATCCTAGGCTATCCTCAGCGCTCTCTACACGAGCGGATATCATGAAACCATTAGTACAGCCAGATACCGTTGGGTGGGAATCCGAATGTGTTCCAGCGACTTGACTGTCAGATGTTATTCTGAAGAAATCAATAGAAGTTGTTCATAACCACACTCGAACCAACTTATCCCATAAACTTGTCTCGCTTTGTTCTAGATCATAACTAGCCTCGATGATGAAAGACGATACACCTTCACATGTGTGATGACTGACAGTGGACCGTCAGTCTATTATCAGCACTACCAGTATGCCGCACCTCAAGCACAGTGCGCATCCACACACTTTGTCAAGCAAATCGGAAACAGTAATCAATTTGGCGGATCACTGCCTGATCTTAGAAAAACGATTTACCGTTTCGTGCAAAGACAGGTCAATTCTGTCGTTATTGTTATCACAAAGCTATGGATATATGTGCACCGAGAACTGATCGCATACACTATGAGCTCGAATGCCAACAGAATGGTGTTCGGAAGCTTTCTGCTACTTC